CACACATGCCCCCCCGCCCCTCCCTCCCACCCATATGTACATACACACAGCAGCTGTTTTTGGAATGAAAAGGAGAAGTTTTGATGTTTCCTGTGGATGGAAGTGAAAAAATTTTGGTGTTTTGTGTTGCTAATTTTGAAACCAAACCAAGTTCAACTACAGCTTCCCCTTCCACCCTAGCGATTAGCATGAGTCAGGGAGACACCACGAGGCCAGGAGCCTCAGAACTGAAAGCTGGGGTTTCCTGGCTCTGTGGTAGGCAACCTGGTAGCTGTAGTGTCCACGGCCTTGTGGCAGGGTGAGGGCATGGCCCTCAGTCACCCATCCAGGGAATGAGCAGGAAGCCCAGCAGGGCTAACTCAGCCCCTGCATCTCAGTTGAAGTCCCTTGAAACAGTTCACTTGTTAGCAGACAGGTGCTTTTCCAGCACCTGTTTTTTTGGACGATTCCTGACCATCTCTGCCTGGGGATTATGTTGTGGCATTTTATGGCCTCACCCCCAGCAGCTGCTCCAGCCAGACTCAGCTTTAACTTGGCAACAAGCCTCTGCCTAGCCTGACTGCTTTGGGAGCACCCCTTTGCTGTCCACAAGGTCCCCGAGTACTCATTGCAAGGGGGCATTAGGGTCTGAGCGGATGCTGGGCCCAGCTGTGGTATGGGATGATTTTACCTGAAGTGCCTTGTCCAGTTAATCCCCACAGCCCCCCAAATCTCCACAAGGGAGGCGTGTGTCTTTGGTCTCTCAGCCTAGAGAGATCATTGATGTGGAGGGGACATAAAGCTGGATGGCATAAAAGCTGCAACATACCTGGAGATCCTCCCATCAAAGGGTCTCACAAAAGTACTGTTATCGCAGGGCAAGGCCCATGCTCTGCCCCTAGCCTGGTTGGTGACTTTGGGCAAGTTCCTTTGCCTCCTTCTGACTCTGTTTCTCTCCATGAAACCGGGGATGACCTTGGAGCTCTGTGGCTGGACAGTCTGAGAGGAGACAAAGCATTGCTGTTAAAGCCCGGGCCAGTGCCTTCCAGCTGGGACCAAGAGGTAAGAGAACTGGATTGGTAGTAGGGATGGACACTTTGCTCTAGTTTGACCTCCCTGTATTTTGCCAGCCAGTTTCCAGATAATTTTGCTGTGATCTGGGGTTAACATGTGATTGGTCTGCTGTGCAAGGGACCAGGGATCCTTCCCCTCCGGCCAGCAGTGGTTGTAGCCTCCCCAGAGTTTACTCATCCCTGTGGGCAGGGCACCTCCCTGCTTGGTCAGACACCTGCAGCCAGCGAGGCAGCATGGCAGTGACTGCCCAAGGCCAGTGCTCGGACAGGACAATAGCTGTGACACACTGGAGAGGAAGTGGTGGAAGCCCAG